TAAAAAGTGATAAAAAGTGATTAATAAACAGATAAAAAGTGATAAAATTTGATAAAAACTGATAAAATGTGAGAAAAATGACAAAAAATGACAAAAAATTGATAAAATGTGAGAAAAATGACAAAAAATGACAAAAAATTGATAAAATGGTAAAAATTTGATAAAATGATAAAAATATGATAAAAAGTGATAAAAAAAGTGATCAAATTTGCATGTGTACAGTGATCAAACTGGGTGAGGGACCCTCGGTGGGCCAAGTGCCGACGGGATAAAAGGATGTTGGGGGAAATGAGGTGGATGTAAAATTAGCGGGCGAAATTGTTTTGGACTTTTTCGTTTTGGGTGAAGGATTGGGTTAACCGTCCTGATCCCCAAGGGCGACTTGCCGCAGAATCCCAGCAAAGTGTTGTTGCGCTGTTGCCACTCGCGGAAGCGCGGCGGGCGCTCAAAAACGATGCGGCAGCGGAGCAGCTGGGCGAGTACTGCGCTCCCCGAAACTTTGAACGGAGTGCGCACCGGGTAAATCGGGTCCGATCTCGTTCGGATTTTTTGCGCTGTACTCAAAATACCAAAGCGCACCGAAAAATCGACTTCTCTTTCCGTACAAAAATAACGAGATCTAGGTTGTCTCCACGGGAGATAGCGTGGAGACGTTTTGGAGACGTTGTCAAGACAGTTAATAGCCAAACTTAGACAATAAGGAGACGACCTCGAGACGTGGCGTTTTGCCTCCAGTTGCGTCTCAGTTGGGTCTCGTTTACGATCCCGTTTAGAGACGACACAGAGCCATCGCGTGGAGACAATCTGGAGACATCGACATGCGACAGACGAAGAAAGGCGAAGAAGGCGAAGGCGAGGATCAATTGTGGCACGTCACCTAACGCGCTTATGAGCGTAGATTGCATTTTTTTAAAAGTTTTCGTAAAAAAAATAACATAAAGCAATAAATGGAAAATTTCACTTTTGAGGCTTTTCTCCATAAGAGTTCAATGTTAAGGTTCAAGGCATTATTGGAGGCAGAAGTTGAAGTCGCAAAAAAAATCTCTTTTGCACCGTTAATCACCTCTAACTAAGAGAACATTTTCCAAAGTGAGCCGACATCAATATCCAAAATAGTGGTTTTTCGCTGTACCTTAATTATCAGGAATCCATTGGAAGTATACTTTCTCTGTCCAGAAGATATTCTGAAAATGTCTTAAAATTTACATGGCCCAGTCTTGGACGCGTAGTTGACTGCAGTTTTGCACTCATTCATGCGGTCATGGTACGATGGAACCACACATCCCTTGACGTGTATCTAGCAAGGCTCCGTAACTTAACATAACATTTACTCACGTTAGTTAGTTATGGTATCAAATTTAAAGTTAGTTTTAAAGGTTACGTTTTTT